TCCTTCATGTTCACATGGATGGAGCTGGAAAATGTTCTTCTTAGCAAAGTATCACAGGAATGGAAGAAAACGTATCCAATGTACACACACCTGTTATGAGATTAATTTAAACCTTTTTATATGAAAGCTATAACCTAATAACAACCTAAGGATATGGGGTGGGGGAGGGAGTGGGGAGAGGGTGGATGGAGAGGGACTCGAGGGTTCACTTCTGTGGTTCATCTTACAAGGGTACAAGTGAATCTTTTATGAGTAGAATATGAATGTTTTAACACAATAACTAAGAAAGTTACATGAAGGCTATGTACCCCCAAAGTGCATCAATCAGTTACCATTCAATAAAAAAAAAAAAGAACATTTATCACAGCTGTACTTATAGTGTTGAAAAACTTTAAAATATAAATAATAATAAAATAAAAACTTTAAAACAGCCAGTGTGCCCTGTAGTGGCAGGAATGCTCAGAGTGGCCTCTGCACATGGTGGTCAAGAGCAGTGTCCAGCCACACTCAGAGATGCTCACAACCCAGCATGGGATTGGGACAGGTGGAGGGACAGGTGGAGATAGGAGGGGATGGTTGAGAGGCTGCAGAACAAACTTGAGTGTGCTTAAAAAAAAATACACGATCATGCATAGAAAAAAACTAGAAGAAAATGCATTTAGAATGTTTTTTTCTTCATGTTCCAATTTTTGAGCTGTAAGATTTTATTGCTTATATAACCGAGGAAAAAATGATCAAAGACTGAGAATTTGGAAGTTTGGAGATGTGAGGTTTCTTCTGTGCTGCTTCACCATGACCTCTGGGCAGAGTTCTCCTTAGTAAAGAGAAAGTGCTGTGATTTCTTTGGGTTTTATCCTGGGGTGTGAGGATGTTTTTGAGGCAATTGGTTTGTCTCTCTGAAAGGCTTCTGTGACTAACTTCTCTTCCTTGAGTGCCAGGTTGAATAAGAGAGAATATTTCTCTCTGGAATGCCTTCTGTTTTGATATACTCTGCTCTCGGAAGTGCTGCTGGAACTTTTATCTGTTCTCATATATATTTCAGTCCTTACTGGCTGAAGGTGGGCAAAGCATTTCTTTCACCAGCATCAAAATATGCCAGGGGGCCTGGACCTTCCCCAGGGCCCTTCCAGGGCAGAGGTAGACTAATTTTCAGGAAATTGCATTGCTCAGCTGGGTTGATACCTGAGCTTCCCTTCCCAGACAGCTGGATGTATGGAGGGGCCCCTGTGCTCACAGGGAGATGGCCTCCATGGAGGAGTGGCTGGACCCTCAATCTGCATAACAGGCATGTCCTGCAGCGTTATGGGGTTACTGTGCTCTTGAGCCTCAGGTGCCTCCTTGGTGGTTGCATGATGGAGAGATGGCAGGCCCAGCACCACAGCCTGGGCAGGCTGCTATGGGTGGACCAGCCCCCTGGCAGCTCAGCCTTTGTTTAATGTGCTCGTGTGACCTCCTAGGCTGTGGCTTCTCAAAATCATGTGGTATTACCTTCATGGGTAGCTGGAGAAAGAGAAACTGATGAGGAGCAAGTGCCATTTGCAATGCTGTGTGGGACAGTAGGTGGGGCCCGAGCGGAGCCTGGCCTTCTCTCCTGTGCCCTTGGGTGTATTCATCACAGGGCTCACCTTGAAGTCTGCTATAGCCTGTGTGCACATGTGTGCACCTGTGCAAGTGCCAATGCACCTGTGTGTGTGTGCATGTGTGTGCATCTGTGCAAGTGCCAATGTACCTGTGTGTGAAGCTGTGTTCATGTGCACTTGTGTTCATGTGTGTTCGTCTGTGCACCTGTGTTTATGTGTACTTGTGTGTGTGCCTGTGTTCATGTGTGCCTACGTGTGCCTATGTATGCACCTGTGTTCATGTGTGCCTGTGTAAGCTTTTATGCACTACTGAGGCTTCTCTTTGGCCTCAATATCACCTTTGGAACATGGCAACTTCAGAGTGTATAGTCTCTAAAGTCCTCACAACCTGAATGTGCATAAGCCTAGCCCACAGCAGGCAGGTCTAGGCCCTGGTGTTGCTGGGTGATGGCCTTTGTCCTCTGTCCTGTTCCCTGGATGCCTGCTCTCTCTTGCACCTCCTGTGTGGCTCTGTGTTCTTTCTTGATGCTCCCCTACCCATCTGTGCTGTGAGGATGACGCCTTTGGACATCACACAGTCTTCAGGTGGCCCTAAGAGCTTGCTAGTATAGTGTCCATCAATCAGCTGACAGAGATGTGTACTGAAGATTTGCCTGTGCTGGTTGCTGGGCAGAGAGGGTGGTGAGAGGCCTCTGCCCCAGGCAGCATGGGATCTGTTTGGGAGTGAAGCAGGTTGTGACACAGGGGCCCAGGTAGGATCTGGACTAGAGCTCCACTCTGCTGGGTGAGTGTCTGCTCTGGCTCTCAGTCCTCTGAAGTCTGAAACTGGAGCATGATGATTCTTCTTCTGTAGCAGTGTTCTTTGACATTTTTTATTTCACGGCACACTTGAACCTGTAGTTAAACTTCTGCAGTACACTTAAATTGTGTTGCTCAAAAAAAAAAAAAAAAAAAAAAAAAAAGAAAAGAAAAAAGAAAAACCTTACACTGGCTGTGGGTATGGGAAACAAAAAAGCTCTAATAAAAATGGGGACAGGGGTAGCTATTCTTGCCATCATACTTCTTAATACTTCTGCTATTCTAAAATGTTTACTCTTGGCATACTCCTAGCATGTCCTACTTCAGAAGTCCCTGCATGCCACTCAGAAATAATTGCTACTTCTCAGCCTTTACCCCTGAATGTCTGTCGGGCCCAGCGTTTTGCTCTGAAACTTCTCTCCCCGCTGTAGGCCTCTAGCCATTTACCTTCCCTTCAAAGACCCTCTGTATCTTCGCTAATTCTAAGAAGTTCATGGTGGGAATACCCTTAAGTCCTCCTGAAGGAGACTGAGGCCTGGTGCTCTCCAACTTGTTGGGTAAGCAGAGGTACAGAACAGAGACATCCAAACACGTCTGACTAAGGTGGGGACAAAGACACAACATGGTCCTGGGCTCCTTTGTCTTTCTCACAACCACCGTCTAAGGTTACAAGTCCTCCCAGCCCTGAATGTTGATTCAGGATGTCTAGATAGGGTCCAGCATTTATGGCTTTTTTTCCTTACTGATTGTGACCGTATCACATTCCAGATCGGATCTGATTAACCCCCTGGGTGGGGAGAGCACCCCCCTGCCCCCCAAAGGAGTCTGCTTCCTTCTCACCTCATTGGCACTGTGTCCTTGTGCTTTCCTCACTTACTGTGACTTTCTCACATACTAGATAAGATCTGATAACCTTCAGGGCCGGTTCCTAGAAAGGGTAGCTAAGCCTCTGGTCTGGTAAGTGTGCATGCTCACAGGAGTGGAGAGGAGTGGGAGCCAACCCATCAGACACTAGGAGGTCACTAGGTGGAGGAAGAAGGTCTCTTTACTCTGTGCAGGATGGCATGCCTCCTCGGCCCTGTTACCTGTGAAATTCTTGAAACTTTGGTCAAGTTGTCGTGACATAAGAAACTGAGATGCTGGCTGGGTGCAGTTGCTCACACCCATAATCTAGCACTTTGGAAAGTCGAGGCAGGTGGATTGCCTGAGCTCACAGGTTCGAGACCAGCCTGAGCCAGAGCGAGACCTCATCTCTAAAAACAGCTGGGCATTGTGGCAGGCACCTGTAGTCCCAGCTACTTGGGAGGCTATGGCAAGAAAATTGCTTGAGCCCAAGAGTTGGAGGTTGCTGTGAGCTATGATGCTACAGACAGCACTCTACCGAGGGGACAAAGTGAGCATCTGTCTCAAAAAAAAAGAAAGAAAGAAAAGAAAAGAAAAGAAACAAACTGAGATGCTCTTCTTAGTTTTTCAGAAGAAATCTTGGGTCAAGGAGCCCTGGGTGTGTCCTCCGAGCTTGCCTGAGGACGCCTGAGTCACAGCCACGTTTGAGAACCATCGCTCTACTCGATTTTGCCATGTACAAGTAGTACAAGAGGTTTTGGTGGTTCATGTTAAAGTTCTGTTTGTAAAGGTCATATCCTAAAAGCAAAGGACATAATGACAGAAGACAGAAAGCTCAAAAGGACAGTAATATTCACAGGATCCTACCTTTTTGACCACCAAGTCGATAGGAGTCAGACACTCTGGAGTGTTATTTCTCGAGTTGTTCACCACAGGAGAGACTGGATGGAAGGTGATGTTCTCTGTAGGGTGGATCAACTTCAGAGCTTCTGCAATTGAGACCTCACCAAAGTCTAGCCATTTAGAGACTGCCTCCTCACCATCTAATATGGCAGGCATCCTAGCCAGAGGGGTTAAGATAACGGTTGGGAGAGGTAGAGTGAAGGTAGGAAGAGAAAGGAGAGAGATGTGAGTTGAGTGACAGCTCAAAATATCACAAGGGAAGCTTCCCCTCCCTTTGCCCCTCACGTGCTGACTGTGGCCACAGGCTCCCTGAGCACGTGCTGATAGGGGACTAGATTCAACACCTTGAGAGCCAGGTTACAAAGAGTGCTGTGGACCGGGCATGGTGGCTCACATCTGTAATCCTAGCACTTTGGGAGGCTGAGTTGGGACGATCCTTTGAGGTCAGGAGTTCAAGACCAGCCTGAGTAACAGTGTGACCCCATCTCTACTAAAAACAGAAAAATAAAGCGGTGCCTGCACCTTAGTGGGTGGGGTGCCGGCCACATATACAAAGGGTGGCATTCAAACCCAGCCCCAGCCAAACTGCAACAAAAAAACATTTGGGCATTGTGGCAGGTGCCTGTAGTCCCAGCTACTCGGGAGGCTGAGGCAAGAGAATCACCTAACCCCGGAGCTGGAGGTGGTTGTGAGCTGTGACGCCACAGCACTCTACCAAGGGCGAGATAAAAGTGAGACTCTGTCTCTACAAAAAAAAAAAAAGAAAGAAAGAAAAAAGAAAAATAAGGCTCAGCGCCTATAGCACAGTGGTTAATAGTGCCAGCCACATACACCAAGGTTGGCATTCGAACCTGACCCAGGCCACCTAAACAACAACAACTACAAGAAAAAAAATAGCTGGGCGTTGTGGCGGGCGCCTGTAGCCCCAGCTACTTGGGAGGCTGAGGTAAGAGAGTAACTTCAGCTCAAGAGTTTGAGGTTGCTGTGAGTAGTGACAACACAGCACCCTATTGAGGGTGACACAGTGAGACTCTGTCTCAAAAAAAAAAAAAGAAAAAGAAGTCAGGAGCTGTGGCAACACCTGTAGTCCCACCTACTTGAAAGGTTGAGATAGGAGGACTGCTTGAGCTCAGGAGTTTGAGGTTGCTATGAGGTAGGCTGAGGCCATGGCACGCGACTTGGTCTCAAACAAAGACGACGACAGATGTTGCCCAGACTGGTCAGGACTTGTGGGCTCATGTATCCTCCCACCTCAGCTTCCCAAGGCTAAGACTATCGGTGTGAGCCACCACACCCAGCTAAAAATATCTTAAAATCAGGGTGGCGCCTGTGGCTCAGTGAGCAGGGTGCCGGCCCCATATACAAAGGGTGGCGGGTTTGAACCTAGCCCCACCTGAACTGCAACAAAAAAATAGCCAGGCGTTGTGGCGGGAGCCTGTAGTCCTAAGTACTTAGGAGGCTGAGGCAAGAGAATCGCCTAAGCCCAAGAGCTGGAGGTTGCTGTGAGCTGTGATGCCACAGCACTCTACCAAGGGTGACAGGGTGAAACTCTGTCACTAAAAAAACAAAACAAAACTTACAATCTCTGAGATCCAGATGCATTTTATAATGAATGGCATCTCTGCACAGTAAAATGGTTTAGTTGGCAGTAACTGGCAGCACTTGACCTTTCTTAACATATAAAATAATGGTATCTTTTGGCTGGGCAAGGTGGCTCACACCTGTAAGTAATCCTACCACTTTGGGAGGCCAAAGTGGGAGGATCTTGTGAGAAGTTCAAGACCAGCCTGAGTAAGAGTGAGAACCTGTCTCTACTAAAAATAGAAAAATCAGCTGAGCGATGAAATCAGTACTGTGAAGGAACAGAATAATTAGAAAGTTTTGGGGTTTTTTTTTTGCAGTTTTTGGCCGGGGCTGGGTTTGAACCTGCCACCTCTGGCATATAGGGCTGGCATCCTACTCCTTTGAGCCATAGGTGCCACCCACGTTTCTTTTTTTTTTTTGAGACAAAGTTTCACCTTGTCTGTCTGGGTAGAGTGCTGTGGCATCACAGCTCACAATAATAACCTCAAGAGATCTCTTACCTCAGCCTCCCAAGTAGCTGGGATGATATAGGTGCCCTCCACAATACCCAGCTAGTTTTTCTATTTTTAGTAGAGACAGGGTCTCACTTTTGCTAAGGCTGGTCTCAAACCCGTGAGCTAAAGCAATCCACCTGCCTTAGCGCCGAGGGTGCTAGGATCACAGGAGTGAGCCACTGTGTCTGTTTTTTGTTTGTTTGTTTTTTTAATGGAAAGATTCTTTAGCATACGGGCTGAATGCAAGAAAAAAAGAGGAATATTTTTCACAAAAAGAGAAAAGCTGAAATTTTCTCACAAAAAGAAAGCACTATTTATCTATAAAGACCTTAAATACCACACAAATTGTTCCTTTTAGTGTTAGAAGTAGTAGGTGGGAGGATCGCTTGAGGTCAAGTGTTCAAACCTGAGCAACACAGTGAGACCCCATCTCCACAAAAACGAAAAAATTAGCTGGGCATGGTGGCATGTGCCTGCAGTCCTACCTATTAGGAGAGGCCGGGGCAGGAGGATCGCTTGAGCCCAGGAGTTTGAGGTTGCAGTGAGCTCACTACAGCAATCTAGCCTCAGCAACAAAGCCGTCTCCAAAATTGAAAAAATAAACAAACACATCCCCCACATCCCTCAAAGGAACTATATTCAAAGGCAGAAGAACATGCCCCAGGATTTAAGACTGCAAAAAGACTAAAACTTTTGTGTAACTTTCTTTCACAACATCACAATAACTCATGAGCTGTAATTCTTCTAACATCCACTTCCACAAACAAAATTCAGATCTTATTCAAGGTAAAGTGCTGTATTTATTGCAGTATTTATAATTTCTTACGTACTTAACATGAATAAATCAGTGCTACTATTTTTATTAGACTTCTATTATTTTACTTATTTATTTATTGAAACAGTCTTGCTCTGTCACCCTGGGCTAGCTTGCATCATAGCTCACTGCAACCTTAAACTCCTGGGCTCAAATGATCTTCCTATCTCAGCTTCCCAAGTAGCTGAACTACAGGTGCACACCACTGCGTCTAGCTAATTTTTCTATTTTTAGTAGAGATGGGGTCTTATTCTTGCTCAAGCTGGTCTCAAAACTCCTAAACTCAAAGGATCCTCCCACCTTGGCCTCCCAGAGTGCTAGGATTATAGCCATGAGCCATTGCCCCCAGCCCATTACTTTTTAATGCATCACTGAAAAAGTTTTTAAGTGTTGTCTCTTTAAAACTCACTTTTCCCATATTTTATGTGGTTTTTATGCTATAATTTTGCATAGTGCAATGACTTTGAGGAATGTGTGTCATGTTATCCCTGAAGTGACTATAACTATATTTTTCAGAACAACTTAGTTTCCTACTCTCTAAAGCTACCTAACTAAAAAGACAGAGGACAAATCCTCTTTTGACTCCTTTTGAATCCAGGGATAAGTATGACTTGCCTGTGGTGGATGTCACTCAGACCTTTGCAGGAATCCACTGTGATGATGGTATAGGAATATAGGACATTTCCCTCTGGGGACTCCCAGCAGTCAAAGATCCCAGCCATTGTCAGCAGCCTCCAGTTGTCCCAGACTTTCTCCCAGTTCTCAAGACTATCTGCAACACCAGTGCTACCTGACTGGAAGGAAAATATACCAGCAGATTAGATGCACCCAGCAGCTTTCTTCTACATGCCGGCTGGGTACTACAGATGTGAAAGTGTGGAAATTATCTCAGAAGTAATTCAGCATATGTTTATCAACCCCTCTCGATCGACTATCATCAAAGGCAAGAACTTGGTAGCAACTGTCCACTGAAGCTGTTGATTGATGGCTCCTTAATACTTTCAGAATTTGACACCTTCGCTGGCCCAGTTCTAGCTGTCATTCACAGTGTTAATCTGAACCCAAACCAGCTCCTTGCAGATGAAGCTCACTTGTGTTTTATGCCCTCGTATCTTGCTGAAGCAACCATCCTCTGCCCCCAATATCCTTCCCATCCTGTTCATTATCCCAACTCCTACTTGCCACTCAAGATTCAATTCAAGGCCTGGAACACAGGAAGTGGAAAGAACATCACTTTTACTTTAACAATAAGCAAAAAGCTCGATAATTTACCAAATTATAACTTTTCCTAAACTCATCAGAGAACTGAAGTCACAGGGCAACCATTAGCCTGAAACTTAAGGAAAGACAGAGATCTCAAAGCAGAGATGGGACACAAGTACTGGCTTATTGGTGACGAACGGACAAAGACATGGCCTGTATACACGCAGGTAAGAGTTCACGTAAAGTAAGCTGGCTAAAAGCAGAGCATGGGCTAACATGAGACCTCAGGGCGTTGTGCCAGCTCACACGTCCTCTCCAGGGACCTCACTGGGATTCATGAGAAAGAGCGGAGCCTCACCTGATTACTTCTCCTCTAAGGAGCAAAAGTCTTAAGCTGCCAGAGAAAAGGCAAAAAACCCCTATCACCCTACCGTGCAGGTAAAGATGCAGTGAGGCTGGGAAAGGTAAAAGAAAGAGTTCCCTGCGCCCTGGGAAGGAGTAGAACCAACACAGAAGCCTGAGCCAGAGAGCCGGGTCTGGCAGAGACAGACTGAACGAAGACAACTGAGAACTACTTCCCGGCCCGTGAGAGGAGCAGTCACCCTGGGAGGGGAGGGGAGACAGCATTAGGCTCACAGCAAAGTCTGAAAACTGAGGAGAGCAGGGATGTGAGGAAAACCCTCTGGAAAGCCAATCCTGACCTTAAACACTGAGTAAAACAAGACAATTTAAAAGCCTGTGATAAGGAAAGGTAACAACAATAGCAAAATGCAACCCAATTCTTTTTGTTGTTGCATTTTGTGGCCAGGCCGGGTGTGAACCTGCCGCCTCCAGTATATGGGGCTGGAGCCTTACTCCTTGTGCCACAGGTGCCTCCCGCTTTTTTCTTTTTTTTTGAGATAGAGTCTTAAGCCATCACCCTCAGTAGAGTGCTGTGGCGTCACAGCTCACAACAACCTCAAACTCATGGGCTTGAGCGATTCTCTTGCCTCAGCCTCCCAACTAGCTGGAACTACAGGTGCCCACCACAAAGCCCGGCTATTATTTTGTTGTAGTTTTAGTTGTTATTATTGTTTGGGAGGCCTGGGCTGGGTTCAAATCTGCCAGTTCTGGTGTATGTGGCCAGCGCCAAACCAACAGCATCCTTTCTGATTCAACCATACAAGTTTTTTTTTGTTTTTTTTTTTTTTTTCCAGTTTTTGGCCGGGGCTGGGTTTGAACCCGCCATCTCTGGGATATGGGGCCAATGCCCTACCATACAAGTTTTAATATGCTCGGCTAATTGGTATTGCTGGGAGGACTTCATTTGTTTTCATCTGCATAGACTTTATGTTTTTGATTTTTGTGTATCTCAAAATTTTCTTTCTTTTTTTTTCTTTTGAGACAGAGCCTCAAGCTGTCCCCCTGGGTAGAGTGTCATGGCATCACAGCTCACAGCAACCTCTAACTCCTGGGCTCAAGCGAGTCTCCTGCCTCTGCCTCCCAGGTAGCTAGGACCACAGGCGCCCGCCACAATGCCTGGCTATTGTTTTTGGTTGCAGCCATCATTGTTGTTTGGCGGGCCTGGGCTGGATTCGAACCCGCCACCTCAGGTGTATGTGACTGGCACCTCAACCACTTGAGCCACAGGCACCAAGCCAGTATCTCAAAATTTTCATAATGACCCATGAATATTCTGTGCCTAATAACTTCACAAGCTTGCCTTCTGTAAGCTTTGAGCCCTATTCTATGACTACTGGTTAAACTGTCTATGTCTTTTTTTTTTTTTTTTTTTTT